GATCTTGGCCGTGCCACCGCCGATGTAGTATCTGATTTTAATCGTTCAAGCTCATCGATCTTTGAAGCCAATTTACTCTTTATATGCTCTAGTTCAGCTTTAAGAGACATAATCTCAGAATCTTTTTTTGATGAGTCATTTTGAATCGAAATCACATCTTTCTGGGCTGAAGACAACTTACCTTCCAATATTTTTTTCATAGACCGAAGTGCTGTAATTTCCTTTGATTCATTCTGAGTTGAAGATAGTTTCGTTTCCAATATTTTTATCTTAGACTGAAGATCTTTTATCTTAATTTTAGATTCATTAAGAGAAATATCTTTGCGGGTAATCTGAGATATTAGACTATCTAACTCTGAGCTCAATCGCTTAACCTCCTCTATAAGTTGGTAGGTATGCTTGAAGAGTTTTTCTTTCTCTTTATTGGATTGTTTTAGATTACGTTGTATACGCTTATTGTCTTTATCTAAGACAGAACATTTATTGGCAAGTCGTTTGCCACACTCTATAGCAATTTCTCGATCTTGATTTGCACAAGCAAGCTGGTTTTCAAGTTCTATTCGATTAGGCGGATATCGATTAGATGGTATACTCCCTAATTTACTGCCTTCACTTATATCTGACAATGTATAAATTCGAGGCATATATGTTTTAACACTAGCTCCGCTATTATATCAATGAAATAAATAAATTAAATACAGGATAACTAATATTAATATCGAATAAAGATTAGATATTAACCGATATATCTAAATCGAATATTTACCGAAATAGAATTAGATGTTAACCGAATAATCTAGATATATCGAAATAAAATTGGATATTTACCGAACAGTCTAGATATGTATCGAAACTAGATTGAAAAACTTTCGAATTTATATCTAAATATATTTTTTTATTATATATAGATCATGACTCAAAACTCTGAAAAAATAATTCGATATCTGCGATCTGATGCAACTCCTTTATCAGATGATAATATACAAGATATTATTAATGCCAGAAATTCAATGAAACGCGCATCAGAAGCTATGGCTATCAAATATAAAATATCAACAAGGCGTGTATATCAAATATGGAGAGAAAATCATCCGCCAATAGATCCTAGAGAAGTAGTATCACAACCAATTAATATAGGGTCGATATCATCATCGAAAAAGGCTAGTCAAAAAAGTAAATTGGCTTCAAAGATCGATGAGCTTGAACGATTAAAATCAGATACTACATCGGCGGTGGCACGGCCAAGATC